GTAAGGCGGCAACGGCGAGACAGCTTCCTTGCGGCTTTCACTGCTACGCGTCATAATCGACCATTACCCCGCAGATAACTCAGCAGCAAACACAATTTAAACAAGCAGTCGGACTAGGAGACGGCAGCAGACACGCCACTGGTGTCGATTTTGAGCCATGTCCTGTAAAGTCTCGAGCCAAGCACAGGGCGAGTCACGTGGACTCCAGCCCGGAAGACGAGACGGACCAACGGCACCCAGTTTGGTCGTCAGTGACTTCATTTCCGCTACCAAGTCAACTTCTGTCCACCCCGAGCCTTGCGCCACCCTACACCTGGTAGACTGAACAAGGCCCTACTAGGTAAGCGGGGACCAGGAATACGTAGCACGTGCCCGAGCCAACGCAACTTATTCAGTGCTACCTGTTGTTCTAGGGAGCTGTCATGATTATCACCACCTAGTACTCGCCTAGACACATCATCGTTACGGACACGCTGGTGCCATCCGACTTCAGCTATGCTTCGCAGACAACGTTGATCAAAGACTTGGATGCGCCTCAGCTCTTCAGACCGAAGGAGCCAATTCTCACTACCATTGAGCAGAACGGCCCGCACTATGGCCTTGTATACACGGTCTTTCAGACGGAGGAAAATTCCCTTCTGTCGCCAAAAATGCCGCAGGTTCCAGAAGATAGCTCTGGCTTTTGCATTGCGTGAGCTGACGTCAGTTTCTATGTGCCCATCGTTGCTGATGCAGCTGCCAAGATAATTGAATTGATCAACCACCTCGAGTTCCTCGTTAACAAGCGTCAAGGGGTCATCAAGTGGCTCGTGGTCCTGCAGCAACACATTGCACTTTGAAGATGCGAAGTGCATACCAAATAATGGGATTACTCTGGACAGGCTATTCAGGGTTGATTGTGTCGCCCCAACATTGTCGAAAAGCAAGACGATATCGTCCGCATAATCTAGATCAACTAACCTTTCACCAGGCAGCACTTCAACGCCTACATTGTGAGATTCCGCAAGGGAACACTCCATGATAGAATCCACGACGAAATTGAAGAAAAACGGGGAAATCGGGCAACCTTGACAAGCGCCATTTGTGCTCGGAAGCTATCCGATAGGACACCGTAGACCCTGACGTGGCCTGTAGTCTTCGAGTATAGAGCACGAAGGATGTTCACATATTTTGTGGGAACACCTTTCCGCGGAAGTATTTCGAACAGAATCGATCGATCGACTGAATCGAACGCACTCCTGAAATCGAGGAACACAACTATTGTTGGTCTGCGGTATGCGTGGCGCTGCTCTAGCAGCTGCCGCAAAGTGAATATATGGTCTATACAGCCACGTCCTGGGCGGAAACCGACCTGCTCTTCCCTAATCTGAGATTCCCGTTCCGCAGTGAGGCGACGAACGATACTTGATGTCAGTAATTTTGTCGCAACTGGAGTTAGGCTAATATCCCTGTGGTTAGAACAGTCTGTGCGACTGCCCTTCTTGTATTTTGCCACTATAATCGATTCGCTTCAATTAGCCGGGACACTTTCTTCCTTCCAGATACATTCGAATAAGGAGGTCAATGCTTTGCAGAGGACCTCACCTCCATCCCTAACTAGTGCAGGTGGGAGGAAATCCGGGCCAACGGCACGAAAACGATTGAGGGCTGTAATCGCATTTCGGATCTCGGCCTCCGACGGAGGCTCTAAACTAACCGTCCACGACTCGTCCTGCATCACGTGAGTAGGAAGAGGTCCGGGAGCAGAGGGTCAGCGGAACTGATCTTGAAAGTGTTCCGCCCAACGGGCCATACGGCGCTCTTTATTGTTTATTAGCACACCCGCGCTGTCTCTGCTAGTCTCACTGATGCCTGGTTTCCTGGGACCGGTGGTGCGGATCAGTTGGAAGAGCTTGCGGTAATTGCCTACTGCTCCTGCCTCCTCCATTTCTTGGGCTCTACTGGTCCACCAGGCTTCCTTGTCAGCACGTAGACTCAGCTTTAGTTCACGCCTAATAGTCCTTCTGGTCACGTTGTGTTCTGAGCTAGCCGGGAGGTGTCTTCTAGCTTCCAACAGGTTAACCGATCTCTCGGATATCCAGTGACTGGTTTGGCGACGATGGATAGTGCCACAAGCAGATGCTCCTGCGTCGTGCATGGCTGCCGAGATCCTATTCCACTGAAGCTCAGTGTCATCAGGACAAGACAGCGGAAGTTCGGTATGCAGTGCGTCTTGATAGGCTTGCCTGACCGAGGGCTGAGACAATTTCTCCATTGCCAGTCAAGGGGGAAGCTTGGTGCGCCTCCCGGTAAAGTTCATGGAGAAACGACAGCGTACCAAGGCATGATCAGAGTCGACACAGGCACTCCAGTACGAGCGGCAATCCAGAATGGAACAACGCCATTTGTAACTTATGGTTATGTGGTCAATTTGGGCCTATCGCTGGCCAGCTACGAGAGGACGCCAAGGGGCACTTCGGCGCCCACTGTGTCTAAAAGCAGTGCAACTAAGAAACAACTGGTGTCCCGCACACAGTTGCAGCAGAAGCTCCCCACTGTCAGTCCGTTCGGAGTTAAGCCCACACTTACAACCCAGATGAGCTTCTGAAGAGCTCGGACGCCCTACTTGTGCGTTCATATCCCCTGCAAGTACTATAACATTTGAACTAGTAGCGATGCACAGTAGCGCGTTTATTTCATGATAGAATGTGTCCTTGACAACATCTGAACTGCAGTCGGTGGGAGCATAATCGGAAATCACAAACAAACAGCGTTTTGTACTACTTCGTGAATCCACCTTAGCTGATGTCGTCAAACGGGCTGTACATAAACGGCTGTTCACCGGAATCCAATCAACCAACAATGGCTCAGCCTTGGAGCTGAGAATGATACCTACGCTAGCTTGACCCGTGAGTGCTGCATCGGCGTCTCCGGATGCGTGCGACCAATAACGAGAGGATAAGCCGGGTGCAGTTAATTCAATAACCCCGTTAGGGTCATTGATCCTAGTTTCGGACACAAAACACACATCAATACCCAGTGTGTCCAAGGTGCGTACGAGTGCAGCCTGTTGACCTGTTTGTCTTAGAGTGCGAACGTTGAATGTCGCCATGGGAACGGGATAGCGTGGCCTTATAAGGGACTTTTGCCGATAGGCGTCCGATGGTTGCTGTGGGATGGTGGCTGCAGATGGTTCTACTCCAGTGGCACTTCGGTTGCTGTCATTTCGGCTGGGATTTATAGAAGGAAGTTTAGTAATGAGGGTTGGGATGGGCGTAAGAGGACCAGGTGGCAAAGAAAGAAGGGAGACGCCAGCAGTAATATGTTTTCGCTTATCCACCCTGCTGTATGCAGCAGATAAAGCGACTCTTGCTAATCTGCGCGACGGCCTATGCAGGATGAAGTTTATGTTTGAAGAAAATGTCATGGTTGTATGTGGGCTGAGATATTGCCAGGGCGCCCAGACCTAGACAGGAGGACGATTAGGGTCCTCAACCAAAGCCTTTGGCTCAAAAGCCTGTCCGCAAGGCAGGGGGTGGTGGCAGTGATCTAGTTTTATAGAAATGGACGCCATCCCATTTCAAACCCCAACCTGGAGGACCAGAAGACTGAGTTTGTCTGACCTCTAGCCATTGACGAACCTTATAGGAGTAGCTCTCAAGATGCCCGGAGGCACCACCCAGTATAGCTCAATGGGTCAATGAGGTACGCAAACCGTCGCACCACGTTAAGATCCAGTCTCGTTGCGTTGGTTTTATGATTATTGCTTCACCTACTACGTCTGGTTACTGCATTTAGTTTAGGCTTGACGGAATTCCGCTCCTGGGTTATATTGACGGGATTTAACAGTAGGACTGACCCAAACGTTTAGCAGTTTTGTTGAAAGCAAGTTTGCCAATAGGGATGACAATGATTGGCTTTAGCGCAACACACCGTCCGAACAAACATTTTGGGCCGCACCTTAGGAATAACTCAGCTGTGCGGAAAGATCACACTATTTTCGGTTAGACTATACACTGTTTATTCTCGGCATGATCAGTGAATTCTGGCCTCGTACAGAACATTGAACACCCAGGATGATTAGGGAAATGTACAGGCAACAAACTTGTTGTTCGCATACATATAGACAGGAAGGAAATGTCGAATAAGATCAATGACACGGTCTAAGCATTAAACATGTGTAATAGCAATACGACAATATTCATTAAAATTGAGATAACAGTGAGCAAGAGCCACAACCGATCCAAGACGAAGAGGGAAGTATAGTAAGCAAGATCAAGCGAAGTAATACTGTCATCCGTGGAAGTACCTTTTTGGGACATACTTCCATGCGAGATATTCTCTCGAGACGCTTCACTTCTGAAAGCTGAATAACCATGACCGATGATTATAGTCAATAAAATCTCCGCTTAAATATTTGATGTAAATGTCTCAACTACCTCGTAGCTTTTGCATTCACCCATCTCATCGCCCAACTAACACTTTAGGTGACCGGAGGGATATTCGCGGCCATCGATCGATGACTCATCGACCGATTGTCAGTGCCGTTTTCCCTTAATTATTTGGGAGCACGAGACAGAGTGATTATTCAGTAGTTAGAATTAGTGAACGCCCAGTGTTTGAAACCTCGTGCCGGTTAACGCCCGTCTTCGTAGTGAATGCCATGTTCCGTGCTCATTGGCTGAGGAACTCCATCACAGGCGGAAGTGGGCACGCGAGTTCTGGCTCGAATAAATGGGACATCTAGACGACAGCAAACTGCTTGTCATGTTTTGTATGACGGATTCCTCCATATGAAAGCGACATTGAGTGAAAGTAAAGTTTTTCGCTCCGTTCCCGTTTTACACTTTCCCGCCTCTTCGGATCGTTATCGCCATGGCGACAGGAGGCAAGGTGTTCTATTTGCGGTGGAATTGAGAGAGAGTTTCGCCTGTCAAGTTGTCCCGAACCCTTATATGCGATTGCCTGATGTATGGATAGTAAAAAGGGACAACACTTAAAAGGACGTCGATTCTACTCACCCGATAATAAAGCGCATCATTGTGCGGTCCTGATTGAAACATGGGCGGTCCGTATTGCCAATTTTGACAACGCCGCTGATCCCTATACACATCGGTGGGGTATTCAGTGATGCCGTCGATCAAAGTGGCACAACATGAGGCCGGGACGAGAAGGTAATACGGGCTGGTAACTGAACGATGGATGGAAAGAGATAGCTGTGATAAACACGCGTAGTTTTAATGGAACATCAACGGATGTGACTTATAAGTGGCTTAGTTTATGGTTTCCCTCTTTTTTTACTCTCACTTCACATTGAACCAAACACAATTTACTAAACAGCGTACGGTTGAGAGGTTTTAATGTCGTTATATACCCCAATCTATTTTGTCATCAAGAGAACACTAACTAATTAAATAATCACATCTTGGCATTATGATCACAAACGGCTACCTCATGTCAAATTAGACTAACGATCATCCAACTAGGAATATGACACAAACTCGGTTGTATGCATCATGTGTGTTATGATCTGCCTGTTTCTGCTCATCTACATTACCGGTGACCAATCAATTACATGCGTTAATCTACTGGTTCAATTTCGTCCCACGACTTTGTGTCGACACGCGTCGTCGAATCCCACGGACCAGCATTATGCGTCTTCGCGGGACTAAGTGACTTCAGCCACCGTAATTTACCTGATTTGAGTCAGTAATTTAAAATTTTCTGGTTATACCTCATCAGTTGAACCAACCACTTCGACTTGTTTGTGTACTCGAAACATTGTTAAGTGAAGCATGCAGAGTTTGACCATGTGACCAGCCCTATAGATGTGACGCCATTCATGTGAGCTCGATTTCATAGTATAACCGAAGGTATTTCTTAACCCGGTTCCTAACCATTCGCATTCTACCGACCAAGCAGACAGGGCTTACAACTTATCCTTGTCAACACATATTCTTGACAGTTCTCAAAAAGTCTGACAATCCCTTTGCTTCCTCAGCCACAAAATACTCTCTATACAGCGCACTCTAATTCTGTAATTTGTAAACTCATGTATTCTTCCCCATTGATTGTATTGTTCCGCTGTTCTTTTCCCCAAACCTACTCAGAAGGATTCTACTTTTCATGTGCGATCACTAAAGTTTATTTCCCCATGTTCTGGATTAAGCAAAGAATCTCTCGTTGATTTTAATGGTTAGTAGACATTTCGACGATTGCTTTAACTTTTCTTTCAAGATCCTAAACGAACCCTGTCACCCTCTACACGTTGTGCCAGCATTTGCGGCATCCATTTCTTCCACGCGATCGAAATTTAAACTTTTATTTTTCCGTACGTCTTCGTATAGCTACTCAGTCCTGTCCTGTCTGCCTCGCTTGTTAGTCCACCCACAAGTAGGGATGCAACAGTTGCGAGACTGTTTATTTGCTTGAAAACAAACTTTTTGTTTGCTTTGTTATTTCGCATTATCTTCCCAACAATTCTCTGTTGTGGTATACCGCAATATTAGGGCAAATTCCTGAAAATGCTCCCACCTAGGTGTATAGAGCTCATCTTGAGTTGCCCTGAACTTTGGTAAATACTTGGACCCAAGGATGTGACTTAGCAAATCAACATTGCCCCATGCAAGATGAAAGAATACAGAATAATTGAGCACTAGAATGCTCGTGTACCTAAAGTAAACACGGATAGTCCAGGCATGGATAAGAGAAAAACCTTGGGCACATTAGAACCAAGCACGGTTCGGAACAATTAGTTTTTCGAATTGGGAGAGAGTGATAAGAAATCTAATTATAGGTAGTTCTATTTGAATAAATAAATAAGGTATATCCTTCGACGATGCGTGACGCATTCCAACTGAATGGTCTGATCAAGTCGTGAAACGTGATCGCATAGCTAAGTCAATTGCTCACGTTTCATACAATGGGTCCCGAATGGTTTTTTGAAGTGATTGGCAGTTTGAAGGTGTTAAATAGATTAAGAAACTGAGAACAATAACAAATACAGATTTAACCGAAAAGCTCATATACTCGGCGGTCCAGAGAACCCTCCCCATGTTTCAGCTCTGCCATGGACTGTGTGTGAGATAATTGAAAGACCACGTTCAATTGGTACCAGATTCCTAATGGCATTCTTTTCCCCCAATGCATTTGAGCTGCCAATTTTTTCTTTCGGCAATGGCTAACATTATATTTCATTAATATGAATAAATATCAGAAATCATTTCAGGGTAAAGAATTCTTTTCGGTAAATCTCATCAGACCCAAACTTTTACATAACAGTGATTGTGGATATAGCGTCAACTGGGGCTGGGATTGACTTCTTGACTGTTTGAATGACCAAAATCGATAACTTGAGACAGAGATAGAGATGGTAGACCAAGTAAACTAAATAAACATATGTACACAATTCTCATTAGTACAAGGTAATTAAGTAGGTAAGATGACGTCCAAATAACTAAGTAACGGTGTCCGTTGGCCAAGGTAGTAATATCGGCCGTATAAAGCGTTTTTGGACACATAATTCCGGCTTTAGATGGTGAATGTACATAGCCTCGGCGATGGCTAAGAGCTGTTTGCGGAATCCTTGAGAGAAGTGTTCAGGTAATGAGTAAATGACTTTGAAGTCATTCTCCGAAGCTGTATGGCCACATTCAAGGAGGTGCGACATGATAGAGCTGTCTGAAGACCTCATTTCGCCTCTGTAAAACCATGCCGGGATGTGTTCACGAACCCTCTGAGATAGGCGTCTCGTCGTGCGACCCACGTATCGTGCACCACAGGAGCACGAGTACTGATAAATGATCATTGAACGGGTCAATGGCGGTAGTCTATCCTTCAAGGGTTTTGTAAGCAACGGCTTATTGTGAAAAACGATTCTCAGACGGGCCGCGAAATAAGTTTTCTCGACAGCATCTTTCAGGCGTCTGGATAACATATCAGCTGCAGAATCGCCCTTAAAGGGTACATGTATGAAAAGCTCTTTCTTAGGAGCAATGCTCCTAGGTGGCTTTCGATTACGTTCCTTCAAATGTTTCATGATAAATTTATCCGGATAGCCATTTTCCCTGAGGGCGTCGCTGATTCTCTGTAGTTCTTCGTTGACGGTATCCGGTGTACAAATACTGCGCGCCCTGAAGGCGAGAGATCTGATTAAACTCCGCTTGTGCTGTAGTGGTACTGCGCTGTGGAAGTTAGTGTACTGCCCAGTCCATGTGTGCTTTCTGTGTACCTTTCTGCTGCATGATCCGTCTGAGTTACGGATAACTTCTACATCCAAGAAAGGTAACCGGTTTCCGAGTTCGTGTTCACAAGTGAAATGAAGATTCTTGTGTGCGTCATTGAAAGCTTTCAGCAACTGTACCGCATGCTTTTCGGATTTGCAAAGTACGAAGGTGTCATCCACATACCGTACGTACATTTCAGTTTCACGGATGTGCGTTGCAAGTGGGCCATGTTCCAGTTTCGCCATGAATATATCAGCCAGCAGCGGCCCCAAAGGAGATCCCATTGCCACTCAGTTAATCTGACGGTACATTTCTCCATTGAAAGTGAACTGAACATTTAACGTGCAACGAAGTAACACCTCCTTTAGCAAAGTCTCCGGAAAAGTTGTGTATATGGGCAGTTGCCGAGCAAGCTCGCATATGTAATCCACGGTTTCGAGCAATGGAATGTTTGTGAACAACGACTGGGCATCGAATGATATCATCCTTTTGTTAACAAGGTTGCTTTCAGATATCCTCTCAATGAATTCGAACGTGTCTCTCACGCAGTAAGTACAAACCAAATTCCGTAACGGCTGTAGCTTCGCCACCATCCACTGGGCCAACAAATGCTGAGGAGAACCCACCATGTCCAAGATTGGGCGCATTGGGGCGCCTTCCTTGTGAACTTTAGGTAGGCCATATAATCTCGGTAGGTGTCCACCTGAAGGCTTCAGTTTTTCGAATTCCTTCTTCGTGATGAGTTTGGCTTGCATCATTCGCCTGAGGCAGCCGGTTAGCTGTTTCTCTACCTCTCCTGTGTTGTCTTTTCCTGTTATGAGCCTCTGAAACTTACTCTTATCACTGAGGATGTGTTGCATTTTATGGATATAATACATAATCCATAATCCCTAACACACTGCAAATCCGAAAAGCATGCGGTACAGTTGCTGAAAGCTTTCAATGACGCACACAAGAATCTTCATTTCACTTGTGAACACGAACTCGGAAACCGGTTACCTTTCTTGGATGTAGAAGTTATCCGTAACTCAGACGGATCATGCAGCAGAAAGGTACACAGAAAGCACACATGGACTGGGCAGTACACTAACTTCCACAGCGCAGTACCACTACAGCACAAGCGGAGTTTAATCAGATCTCTCGCCTTCAGGGCGCGCAGTATTTGTACACCGGATACCGTCAACGAAGAACTACAGAGAATCAGCGACGCCCTCAGGGAAAATGGCTATCCGGATAAATTTATCATGAAACATTTGAAGGAACGTAATCGAAAGCCACCTAGGAGCATTGCTCCTAAGAAAGAGCTTTTCATACATGTACCCTTTAAGGGCGATTCTGCAGCTGATATGTTATCCAGACGCCTGAAAGATGCTGTCGAGAAAACTTATTTCGCGGCCCGCCTGAGAATCGTTTTTCACAATAAGCCGTTGCTTACAAAACCCTTGAAGGATAGACTACCGCCATTGACCCGTTCAATGATCATTTATCAGTACTCGTGCTCCTGTGGTGCACGATACGTGGGTCGCACGACGAGACGCCTATCTCAGAGGGTTCGTGAACACATCCCGGCATGGTTTTACAGAGGCGAAATGAGGTCTTCAGACAGCTCTATCATGTCGCACCTCCTTGAATGTGGCCATACAGCTTCGGAGAATGACTTCAAAGTCATTTACTCATTACCTGAACACTTCTCTCAAGGATTCCGCAAACAGCTCTTAGCCATCGCCGAGGCTATGTACATTCACCATCTAAAGCCGGAATTATGTGTCCAAAAACGATTTATACGGCCGATATTACTACCTTGGCCAACGGACACCGTTACTTAGTTATTTGGACGTCATCTTACCTACTTAATTACCTTGTACTAATGAGAATTGTGTACATATGTTTATTTAGTTTACTTGGTCTACCATCTCTATCTCTGTCTCAAGTTATCGATTTTGGTCATTCAAACAGTCAAGAAGTC